TGCACTCAGGTGTGAGTGAATGTGTTTCCACTTCTAATCTCCCTCCTGTCTGGCTGTTGACCTGTCTGGGTTTGTTAGAACGGTGGGCTAGGGCTGAGCGTTGCTGTTCATTTGCACATCGTTTCTCTTTGTCGCCATTTATCTCTCTACTTCTGCGTGTATGCCTATACTGGTTCGCATTTTGGTGCATTGCTGTGCGGGTATGATGGTGTGGGTGTGTGCATGCATGAGTGTATATATGTAAGTCTGTTGGTGTGTGCACGTGCATGCATGCACGTGTGTGTCTGTGCTCATTGGTATGCACATCCATCCATGCATGTCTGCGTGTGCATGTGTGAATCTACAGGTCCGCAGGCAGAACAAGGCTCGCCTGGCTGCATACATTGAGGGGATTTCGGGGATCAAGGTGAGCTGACTCAATGAGTACACTAGCTGACCAAGCTTCCTCTTCTTGTGCGTTTGCCAGCCATCTGTTTCCTTCCGTTATCGAGCCTTTTGTGTCCTTCAATAATATTGTGGTTATGAGATATTCACGCCTGTCTTGTCGCTCTGCTGCTGCATTCATTTAGCCCATCCCCATCCAGCTTTGGTCGAAGCTAAGGCTTAGAAAGGCGCCTTCGAAGTAGACTTCCTTCTTCAGATGACTCAAGAATCTGCGCATCCAACAGTACAAGCATCCTCGGCCCCTCTCCTTAACATGTCATCTCCCGTTTCCCTCTATCTACTCATTTCCCCGTGTTTCATTCCTGTGCTTCCCCACGCACACCCCACCCCAACCCCATGCTGTTGTGCAGGTGAGCATCGATGTCATGTTTGACGTGCAGATGAAGCGCATCCACGAGTAAAAAAAATTCCTTTGCCCCTCCTCCTCACTTCATCTCCCCATGCTCATCTCCCTGTTCCCGCGTGTTCCATTCCTGGGTTTTTATGATTTCCGTGATTCCCCAACAACCCCCATGCTGCTCTGCAGGTGAGCATCGATGCCATGTTTGACGTGCAGGTGAAGCGAATCCACGAGTACAAGCGCCAGCTGCTCAACGTCATGGGCATCATCCACCGCTACGACTGCATCAAGGTCAGTCCCCTCGCGAGCTGAGCGTAAAGGCTTAGCTTCTTTGGGTTCTTGAGTCGACTCAAAAGAATCCACGAGTACAAGCGCCACCTGCTAAATGTGATGGGCATCATCCACTGCCACGACTGCATTAAGGTCAGCCTCTTCAGAGAGCACTGGCTGATTCACCCAGTCATGTTTTTCTATGGGTATCTGCGTGCTAGGGGCCCTTAGCATCACAGCCGCCTCAACTCTCAACCCACTCGTCTGCTGCTCCCCCTTATCTTCCCTACTTCTGCCTCTCGTTCCTTTCATATTCCATTTCCAAATATGAGTCTCGAGGAGCGCAAGCGGGTGGTGATGCAGGTGTGTCCACTGGAAGACCTACCCGAGCATCACAGGTGTCTCAAGTCTCATATCCCTCATCTGCTCCCCCACTCTTCCCTTTCCCCTCTCTCCCCTTGAGTGGAGCAGAAGATGAGTCCCGAAGAGCGCAAGCGGGTGGTGCCACGCGTGTGTCTGCTGGGCGGTAAGGCAGCGCCGGGATACGACCTGGCGAAGAAGATTGTGAAGCTCATCAGCGCTGTGAGCGAAGTGATCAACAAGGACGAGGACGTGGGCGACCTGCTCAAGCTGGTGCGTGTGTTGGGCTTGGTTGTGCTTCTTGCTCTGTCTCGGACATGGTAAGATCGTGAAGCTCATCAGCGCTGTGAGCGAGGTGATCAACAAGGACGAGGACGTGGGCGACCTGCTCAAGCTGGTGCGTGTGTTGGGCTTGGTTGTGCTTCTTGCTCTGTCTCGGACATGGTAAGATCGTGAAGCTCATCAGCGCTGTGAGCGAGGTGATCAACAAGGACGAGGACGTGGGCGACCTGCTCAAGCTGGTGCGTGTGTTGGGCTTGGTTGTGCTTCTTGCTCTGTCTCGGACATGGTAAGATCGTGAAGCTCATCAGCGCTGTGAGCGAGGTGATCAACAAGGACGAGGACGTGGGCGACCTGCTCAAGCTGGTGCGTGTGTTGGGCTTGGTTGTGCTTCTTGCTCTGTCTCGGACATGGTAAGATCGTGAAGCTCATCAGCGCTGTGAGCGAGGTGATCAACAAGGACGAGGACGTGGGCGACCTGCTCAAGCTGGTGCGTGTGTTGGGCTTGGTTGTGCTTCTTGCTCTGTCTCGGACATGGTAAGATCGTGAAGCTCATCAGCGCTGTGAGCGAGGTGATCAACAAGGACGAGGACGCGGGGGACCTGCTCAAGCTGGTGCGTTTGTTGGTTGGTTGGGATGGGATTAGTGGCGTTTGAAACGTTGTGGAGAAGATAGGAGTATGAAGCTCATTAGCGCTGTGCTGTCTGTGAGCGATGTGATGAACATTGATGAGGACGTGGGCGACCTACTCAAGCTGGTGCGTTGGGGCTTGGTCGTGCTAGTGATGTCTCAAACAAAAAGAGATAGTAATGGGTGTTGGCGCTGTCAGTGAAGCGACCAACAACGGCGAGAACGTGGGCGACCAGCTCAAGCTGGTGCGTTGGGTTTAGTAATGCTTTGAGTGCTTGCCTTTGCCCTTTCACCAAGGGTTCACGCCACCTTGCTTGCTATGCCTCTGTGTGCCCTGTCCTCCCTCCTCCCACTTTCCACTCCCAACTCGCAATCTCACCTCCCCACCTCTCATTCCGTGCTCTCTCACCCCGTGTCTCATTAGTTGCTTCTAACGTTTTCCGAACTTCAGACTTGCAACTCGTCCGCTATGAGTGAAGACCCTCTGACTCCGTCTCCTCTGACCCCCCCTGTCCTCGCACCGTCAGGTGTTCATTCCCGACTACAACGTGTCGCTTGCTGAGCTCATCATCCCTGCCAGCGACCTCTCCCAACACATCAGGTGATTTGGCATGATATCAGGTGATTGCCACAGCACCTCAGGTGATTCGCACAGCACGTCAGGTGTTTCCCACAGCGCATGACGTCATTCTCGCACCCCATCAGGTGGCAGCACTGGATTAGGTGACTGGCACCACACTCTGCATCCATTTCATACCTGCATAACAGCATGGCAGGCAACGAGGCATCAGGCACAGATCTGCAATGAACGGATGCCTCATGTCTCTTTATCGCTGTTATGATAGCCACTCCGTGTATCCATCAGTATCCATGTTTTCCTAAACCACCGACATGCCATGCCTCCCATCTTGCAACAGCACGGCGGGCAACGAGGCATCAGGCACGAGCAACATGAAGTTTGCAATGAACGGCTGCCTCATTCTGGGCACTCTGGATGGCGCCACGCGTGAGATCCGAGAGGAGATCGGCCCCGAAAACATGGTATGTCCGCATGCAGGGCCTTGTGCATGGTTACGTGCAGATCCGCTGTGGTGATGTGCCTGTCATGACTGCATGGCACACCGTGGCATGTATGCAACCATAGCCATCAAGTCTGCTAGAGTGAGAAACTGTGTCACGGGAACATGGCTGATCTTTCCTGGGCAAACCTGCAGTTGCAGTGTTTTGCACACCAAGCTGGCCCGTGCGGCCGTGTCATGCCATGACTGTGCGACATGGTACATTGCGTTGTCGTGCTACACTGTTTTTTTTTCCCTTAATTCCCGATAGGCTTCCCAGGTATTCAACTGCCAGGAAGTGGTTTTGCTGGTGTGTACGAGCAAAAATCGTGTTGTGCTCCGCAATACACCTCCGGTTATCAATGCCCCTCGATGTTCCTCAATGTTCCTCCACATTCCCACGCACTCCCTGGTGCATGTGAACGTGCGGCTGATTGCAGTTTGTGTTTGGGGCGGAGACCAAGGACGTGCCGCGGCTGAGGGAGGAGCGCCGCACCTTCACCCCTTGCCGCAACTTCACACGCGTTGTGGGGTGAGTGCCTGCTGCTGTTCTGCTCTGTGTGCTGCGATGGTCAAGTGGTGAAATTGTGAAATGGTAAGATGTTGTGATGTTGTGCTGCCTACTACCATGAGGCAGCTTTCTCTCATTGCTCCATGCCCTCCCTGCCCGGCTCCCTGTAGTTCAAAGCCCATCTCACCGCTGACCTCTCAATCTCCTCTTGTCATTTCCTCATTCACTCTCCCTGGCTCTCCTCATCTTCCGCCCTCTCTCCCACGAACCACAGCATGATCCGCAGTGGGTACTTTGGGTGGACGGAGTTCTTTGCACCGCTCATGGACTCCATTGACGGCCCGGGCAACGACTATTACCTCCTTGCCAACGACTTCCCCACCTACCTCGAAGCCCAGGTGCGCTCCTCCCCCACCTACCTGCAAGCCCAGGTGCGCTCCTCCCCCACCTACCTGCAAGCCCAGGTGCGCTCCTCCCCCACCTACCTGCAAGCCCAGGTGCGCTCCTCCCCACCTACCTGCAAGCCCAGGTGCGCTCCTCCCCCACCTACCTGCAAGCCCAGGTGCGCTCCTCCCCCACCTACCTGCAAGCCCAGGTGCGCTCCTCCCCCACCTACCTGCAAGCCCAGGTGTGCATCTCTTCTGCCCCCCTTCCTGCACTGTGCATTTACCAACTGCTCCTGTTTCTCATCCTGCTTCGCACTTCCCTAATCCCCGCCGTTCCCGCGCCGCCGCAACATCCGTGGATGGATGTATCATGTGCCTTAGTATCAGCAGCAGTGCTGGGTTCATTGCATCCTGGCTTCCTCTGTTTCTCTTCTACCCAACCCTAACCAGGCCGCCATAGATGCTACGTATGTGGACGTGCCCAAGTGGACGCGCATGAGCATCAGCAGCACGGCTGGTGCGGGTTTAATAGACTACCCTCTTCCCTCCCCCCACCCTCCCTTCTCCGCCTTCTTCCCCCCCTTCTCGCAGGCGGCCATAGATGCAACGTATGTGGACGTGCCCAAGTGGGCGCGCATGCGTACTAGCAGCATGGCTGGGTGCTGCTGATCTAACCAACCTCCTCATTCCCCCCTCCACCTCTGCTCCTTTACCCTTTGCAGGCTGCGATAGATGCTACGTATGTGGACGTGCCCAAGTGGACGCGCATGAGCATCAGCAGCACTGCAGGGTGTGGGCGGTTCACCAGCGACCGCACAATCAAGGAGTATGCAGAGGAGATTTGGGATGTGAAGCCCGTCACCCGGCCGTATTGAGGAGCTTTGATGTAGGGCAGTTATAGAGAGTACTGGAGGACAGGGTCAGGGTCAGGGAGTATGTGGGATGGGAAGCACTGCAGGGTGTGGGCGGTTCACCAGCGACCGCACAATCAAGGAGTATGCAGAGGAGACCTGGGATGTGAAGCCCGTTACCTGACCGTACTGAAGCTGTTTCTGTGGGTATCGATCGATGTTAACAGGACAGGGAAATCCCAACAGCAATCACATTGCACTGCACCCTTGAGAGGGAATTCAGAGGAGATAGGGAGGCTGGGACATATAAAGCAGCCATCTGGACTAGACTGACAGAATGTAGATTAGCTGGTGCCACTGTGCCACTCTAATTGATGCCAGGCATTCAATTGCCAAGACATGGAGGTCAAGCATATTGTGGTTAGCTCCTTCAAGGCTTTGGTAATTCTGCTGGTATGTGCAGGTGCATTTTTATCTCGTTTCACGGCTGGTACATGTTCATACGCTCAACTTATGCACAGAGCGGCAAACAGCTCAACCATACTAGTTACCTGGTCTTATGCACAGAGTGGATAAGCACGCAAATAAATACCGTAAAAGTCGACAAGACAGCTCCGTCGTTCGTGTACAACTGAGGAGGACTGTTCAGGACAACTCTGGAACAGAAACCCAGTGTGAGTGCTGCTGATATACAGAAAGGAGAAGGATGGAATGTTGACGGGATGATGAGGATATAGGCAGGCCCCCAGGCATTAGCTTCGGCTGACGCACCAGGGGCAAAGGCGCCTCCTTCAAACCCTGCTGCTCTCTCTCTCTTTCTCTCTGTGCGTGTCTGGTTACTGTGCTCCGATCATCAACCTCCACTCAAGACATGAACCAGCACCTGAAGTTCCACCTGAGCTCGCCAGCAGCAGCAGAGGGGCACAAGAGTAGGAGAGGAGTGTGGGGTTGAGTGGGAAATACGAGGGTGAGACATTGAGCTTATGAAAGAAAAAAGTGAAGGATGCTGGTGAGAAAGAGGCGGGACGCTTCAGAGGGAGAGAGCGACTGCAAGAGAGCTCACGTGGTAGTGCAGGGAGCTGGTGTGGAAGAGGGCGAGGGAGCGAGAGAAAGGAGCTCACATGGGAGTGAAGTGCGTTGGTGAGGGAGAGGGGAAGGCCGTTGGAGGGGTGGGGCAGGGTGGTGAAGGGCGAGTGGGTGAGAGAGCGAGAGAGGAAGAGAGGAAGAGAGCTCACATGCGAGTGCAGGGCGTTGGTGAGGGAGAGGGCAAGGCCATTGGAGGGGTGCGGCAGGGCGGTGAAGAACCAGCTCTCTGCGAGATCCAAGTCATCGTTCACCAGCAGCAGCTCCCCACCCTCCGTGGCTTGTAGAAACTTTCCGCCTGCGAACACTGACCGGCACCCCAGCAGATCCTGTGAGTTGCGTGGAAGAGGAATTGGAATGGTGTGGGATGGGACCGGGAGGACAGGTTATATCCAAGTCGTCGTTCACCAGCAGCAGCAGCAGCCCACCCGCCGCCCACCTACCCACCTTGTCGTACACGATCACGAACTGCACACTCGGGTGCTGCGTGGAGATGCCCAGCAGGGCAACCACTGAGGCATCCTTATCACTTGCTGACGACGTTGACGCACACGACCCACCCACCCACCCACCCACCCACCCACCCACCCACCCGCCTACCTTATCGCACACGATCACGAACTGCACACTGGAGTGCTGCGTGGAGATGCCCTCCACTGGCAGGGCAACCTCTGAGGCGCCTTTATCACTTACTGACGATGTTGACGCACACGTTTACACACCCACCCACCCACCCACCTTATCACACACGATCACGAACTGCACGCTTGGGTGCTGCGTGGAGATGCCCTCCACGGGTGCAAACCGCCACGGTGCGCCCCCTTGGTGGCGCTTGGCTGCAAAGAGCGCCTTGGGGAACGCCGCTGCGAAGGCTGTTGGGAGCTGCGACCATCCACACACCACACACCCACCCACCTTGTCACACACGATCACGAACTGCACGCTTGGGTGCTGCGTGGAGATGCCCTCCACGGGTGCAAACCGCCACGGTGCGCCCCCTTGGTGGCGCTTGGCTGCAAAGAGCGCCTTGGGGAACGCCGCTGCGAAGGCTGTTGGGAGCTGCGACCATCCACACACCACACACCCACCCACCTTGTCACACACGATCACGAATTGCACGCTCGGGTGCTGAGTTGAAATCCCCTCCACTGGTGCAAACCGCCACGACGCCCCCCCTTGGTGGCGCTTGGCCGCAAAGAGCGCCTTGGGGAAGGCCGCTGCGAAGGCTGTTGGCAGCGAGAGAGCGGAGGAGGAGGCGGAGGAGGAGGCGGAGGAGGAGGCGGAGGAGGAGGTGGTGGAGAGCGGCTGTAGGGCCACCAGCATGCCGTCTTGCAGGGGACAGTCCGGGAGCAACTGGATTGGCAGGGGGAGATAGTGGGGGGGGGGAGGATTTAGAAAGGAGGGGAATCGTGAGAGGAGAGCATAGGTGGTGGAGAGTGGCTGTAGCGCCACCAGCATGCCGTCTTGCAGGGGACAGTCCGGGAGTAGCTGGAGGGGGCGATTGAGGGGAATCGGAAAGGGGAGAGCCGAAAGAGAAGGGGATGTGAGAGGAGAGCGGAGGAGGAGGTGGTGAAGAGTGGCTGTAGGGCCACCTGCATGCCGTCAAAAGCAAGGCGATAGGGAAGACCCACCTTCTCTACAGAAGCTGTTAATGCATCTGTCTGTGTGTCTCCCCTCCTCTCGCCCCCTTGCTTCTTCCCTCCAGAAGATCCACTCTTGCTCCCATCGGCCCCACCCCTCCTTCCCTCCTCCGCTCGCCCTCCCCCACTCGCCCGTCCCGCCTTCTTCCCCCCCACCCCACCACCACCATCGCCACCATTCGCAGCACCACCAGCACCAGAACCACCAGAAGCACCGGAAGAAGCCGGGAAGATTGCGTGTAGTGCTTGCCATTGTGATTCCTCCTCCTCCTCCTCTTCCTCCCCCTCCACCCCTCCAAACGAGTCATCCAATACCAGCTCCTCCGGCACCTTTCCTGAGGTTAGGAACGCCCGAACCACTGCCACAGCCTTGGACTGAAGCGCATCCCAAACCTCCTGGCTGTAGTCGGCACTCCGAGGCAAGATGAGGACGTTCGGGAACTCCCGAACCTGCAAGGTGAGGCAAGTAGGGGTGAGATGGCGGAGTGAAATTAGAAAGCAGAGGGCACGACTGATTGCATAGTTTCTTTTTTTTTGGGCGCCTCGGGAGGTAGAGGGGATGGCTAATTGCTTATTGTCTCTGAAGATTCAACCTAGTGCGCTTGTAGCGGTTGGCTCACGTTTTACAGCTACTCATTTAGCACACTCACTCACCCACAGCGCACCACCACATTACACTAATCTACTCACCCACGCCTCGAGCCACTCACCCACGCCTCGAGCCACTGGTTGCCCTCGACGCCATCCAGCGCACAGCTGCCCAGCCTACCTCATCACAGCGGCACCCACTCATTCACAACCAAGCACCACAGTACACAGTGACGGACCCACGGCCTACCATAGCACCACACTCACCCACGCCTCGAGCCACTGGTTGCCCTCAACGCCATCCAGCGCACAGCTGCCCAGGCGGCCGCTGTTGAGCGTCCTCTTGATGGCACTGTCGCTCACCAGGTGACAACTGCTGGCGTTGATTAACATGGCGCCTGTGGTTGGCCGTGGAAAGAGGAAAAGAAAGGGTCACGGAGGGAGGACGTGTAAGAGGCAACAAACAAACTAGGCGGCCGCTGTTGAGCGTCCTCTTGATGGCACTGTCGCTCACCAGGTGACAACTGCTCGCGTTGATCAGCATGGCGCCTGGTGAGGGGGGAAGGAGGGTTGGGGGATGGAGGGCAAAGTGGGGCAGGGAGGGGAAAGAGAAGGGCTGTTGAGCGTCCTCTTGATGGCACTGTCGCTCACCAGGTGGCAACTGCTGGCGTTGATTAACATGGCGCCTGAGAAGGAGGGGAAGAGGGGGTTGAAGAAAGGATCATGTGGGGAGGAGGCACGAGGAACCAGGCGGCCGCTGTTGAGCGCCCTCTTGATGGCTCTGTCGCTCACCAGGTGACAGCTGCTCGCGTTGATCAGCGTTGCGCCTGGGAGAGAGAGGGGGATGAGGGGAAGAGGAGAGAGAGATGGTACGAGGGAGACTCAGCGGGTGCTGCTACTGTTGCTAATCAGCATGGCGCCTCAGGTGGGGGGAAAGTGGGGGGAGGGGGGGGGAAGGAATAGGGCCACAGGGGAGATGTGGTATGGTGAACCCCCTCCCCTATCCGCAATCCTGTCACCTCCCTCCCACAACCATCCATCCCCCCCTTCCCCACTGCCCGCGCGCCGACCTTTCTTGAAGTGCTTGGCGGTGTCGTCGTTGATGAGGTGGAGCGTCGAATCAGTGAGCGCCACGTGGAGGGACACCACGTCACTGGCCGCCAGCACCGCCTCCACTGTGCTCCGCTCTGTTCCCACCGCGCGCATCAGCGCCGCCGCCCGCGGGGAGCGCTGCAGCTCCTGCGGGGGAAGGGGGAATATGGTTGGAAGGGAATTGAAGAGGGGTTGGGGAAGGATGGGCGCGCGTCGGAAAGCGGCGGCTTTCCCGGTGATTTTGAGACACGCGACCAGGTAAAGCGCCGCTTCCTGGTCTCAAAAACACTCTTCTAATCACGTGGCTTCCTGGTGCGCTCATCGTATTTCGAGTCCCCTGTGCTTATATAACTACTCTTTATTCCGTCTACACCACCTCCTCGCTCCGCGCACACCAGCGCGCGCGCCTCACCCCCTCGGGGTCGCAGAAGACGACGCGCATGCCGAACACGGCAGCTCTCCGCGCGACGGCGCGCGCAGCAGCGTTTGCGCCGACGAGCCCCAGCACCATCCCGCGCAGCCGCCGCATGCCCTGCCACGCGCCCTTGAACCCCGCGAACCAGCTTGCGCTCGTGCAACCCTGGGGAAAGGGGAGGGCGGGTGTGGGGAGAGGGGGAGGGGGGCGGGGCCGGGGGTGGGTGCGGTGGCGGGGACCGGGGAGGCGAAAAGTGGGGTATGCAGAATGAAAAGATGCGGCTTTCATGGCGTAAGGAAAACAAGGCTCGGTAGAAAGAAGAGCGGAGCGCGAATGTGCGTGCGTCGGAGCGCCGTACCTGCGCCGCGAGAACGTGAGTGCGGCGGAGCAGTCCGAGCATTAACGCCATCACACTGTCCGCGACCTCGTCCGTGCGCGGCACGTCCACGTGGACCAATCGCAGGCCGAGCTCTTCCGCGAGCGACGACTCGACGGGGCGCGTGTCGGCGGACGACCCGAGGCACAGAATCAGCTGCGACGCGGAGAGCTTTCGCTGCGCGGCGCGCGGGAGGTAATGCAGCGAATGAACGAGCACCACGTCAGCACGCTCGAGCTTGTCGAGCATGCCCTCGCTGAGCCCGACATTCTCGAGGACGCAGAGGTCCGCGAGCGCCTCGGCTTGCGCGTGGCAGCCCTCCATGCAGTTTAAAGCCACCACGTACGGCAGGTTGCTGGAAGGAGCTGTTAGGACTGCCATTGCGTCGATGCGCTTTGTTAAAAGTCTTTGTTAGAAGTTCCGATTAGCGGTCTTGTTAGAAGACTTGAAAGGTCAAGCGACGCGCAGTTGCGCTACAACGAACCCGACGCGCGAGAATGAAACGCAGAGAAGTTGACCAGTGCGGCTGCGCTGACTGCTAATGGAAAAGAGGAAATTACCGTGGTAACTAGTTATGCTTCAGCGGCCAGGGTAATCTCATCGTTGGGCAATCTTGAACAGAAAAGCTGGTCCTGAGGTTCTTTGGAAGCCGCTCGGAACGCCGAAGGGACACGATTAATGGCCAAGGCTCCTCACTGGTCCCACGTAACTAATGTAGGAGCTAATATCAACTGGATTCTAGAACGCTGCGTGGTACAAAGAAAACCAACTTTGGGACCTAAAATTAGGCGATTAGTTTCTGGAAGGGCTATTTGAGATGGGTGGTGGTTGTCGCACGGTCCCATCCCAAAGCGCCGATGCTGGCCGACTGTGTTTCTGGAGTTGTGGGTTCGTAGAGCGTCGCCAAGGACCCGCAAGGGGGGGTAACGAGAATATTTGCGAGGGGACAGCTGCGTTCGTGATTTTTCGTCAACCCTGCGAAGCTTCGGTTGGGTTCACGTCTCTGCGATCTGGTTGCGGACCTTCTGATGCGATGCGGCACGACGCGGAACTCAGCTGTAACGCCTTCTGCCGGCGACCCACGCTTTGGCTTTCGTGCTCAGCTCGCAACCACTTGTAACAGCTGTCTTGAAATTTGTTCCCCTCAATCCTGCGAACAACCCATTCCTCACCAGAAAAAAAAGTCCGTGATAGGCGCAAATATGAAGGCGCCATTTCACACCCAACATTATCCAAGCAAAGCGCAGAGCAAGCGGGCGGGAAAAGCGCTCACTTAGTCTGGCTTCATGAAGCATGTAGGGCCTTTTCTAGAAGCCATTTAGGCCGCATCGTCCCTTAGGATTTGGTCCCACTGGGGCAGACCGTGGCATGGATAGCAGTGACAGCATCCACTCAAGCGGGGCGCAAGGATCTCCTTCGTTAGAATCTCCCGCTGGAATGATGGAGGTGATTGCTTTACGCCCGTTTCAGGTGTGCGCCCGGCTGTGTTTCGTTTTGACTGAAAGCACGCCCGTATCTGTCCATATCTGCGGACTTGAAGGTACTAGGGTTCAACCACTAGTTTAGACGCAAAGGCGCACTGAAAGGTCCATATTCCTGATGTTACTAGACTCTTCCCGCCCTCTACCTAAGACGCAAAGACGCATTCACTGACTGACATGCCGCCTGTCCGCGCGGCCGCCAACAGGTGCTGAACGACGCGGAACGGAGCGCAATAGGCGCGGCAGACGCTGTGAAGCAACTGCTGGACGCACTGAAAGGGCATCTCAAAGAGGTGCGTGCGTGCCTCTTGAGTCAGCTTAATCTGAGCATGGTTGACTTTAGTCGGCTCAAAAGTCAGTGGCGGACGCTGCGAAGCAACTACTGGACGCACTGAGAGGGCATCTCAACGAGGTGCGTGCGTGCGTCTTGATTCGACTCAATTCGATCCGTCGTAAGAATCACCACATTTGTCCAGGCCCCCTCAAACGTCTCACGTGCAAGTTACGATGGGCGATGGAACCGTGGTGCAGGTGACGAGCAACACTGTAGCGCACGTGGAGGTGGAACGAGATGCTGCCTCGCGGCTGCAGGGCGCAGGTGCGTGCTGGGCGGGGTGGAGGGGTGAATTGATTGATGCTTGAATAAAAGTGTTGCGTGAGGCACAGGTGCGACCTTTGTCTCCTTCAATCCAATGCTGTTCTTGTGGCCACTCGTGGCAGCAATGGAGGCGGCCAACAGAGGAATGAGGTTTATCAACGCATGCATGAGGTGAGCATGGGGTGAGCATGCATGGGTTAAGCGTGCATGGGATGGCCATGCATGAGGTGTGCATCCATGGATGGGGTGTGCGTGTAAAGGAGGGACATGCATGGGGTATGCATGGATGGAAGGACTCACCCTCCCTAGAAGAATCTCGCCAGACATGTGTCAAGGAATGGTCACAAGCTTCATTTGTTGCATTGTGTGGCAAGCAGGATGAATGAGGAATTGCAGCAACTGCCACGCCTCACTGCACAAGTGTGAGTTCGCACTTTGACCTCCCTCTAGTTATTATTTTCCTGCCACTCTTCTCCTGAGCCTTTCCCCTCATCTCCGTCTCCCTTGTCTTCTCTCTGTCCTGAATCTCTTGCCTTCTCCTGACCATTTCTTGTGCTGCCTTTGCTGTGCGAATCTTGGTTGATTGCGCCTGGCAGCAAGGAATTGAGCCGCAAAGTGGATGAATTCGAGTCCCAGCTTAACAGACTCCTTCCACGCTGACCATCAACTGTTAGCGTATGTCGGCATGTACATATCTGTAGTACCTTTACTGGCTATTATACCATTGCAGAATGATTTCTTGTACAATAGATTGTTACTGTAGGTTTTTGGGGAATTAAGGAGGGTTTAAACAAAAAGGAGCTTCCAAATCGCCTGTATTAATAACAAAGCAACTGCTACCGGAAACGCAAGAAGTGGATGAGGCGCGTCCAATTGGCTGCGGAGTGTTTCGCCACGTCACCACCACGTCGCTCGCTTTGCCTTTCCAACACCAAGCGACAGCTGCATGCGACAAACAAGGAACTCCTACGATCAATTGGCTGTGCGCTGTCAGTCGCATTGCAGGGTAAAGTGAGCGACGCCGCACTATTTCCTCGTCGCTCAAAATATATCGTTGGTGTAGACCTCGCGCCGCACGAGCAGCCATGGCGTGCGGGCTGCTGACCCCGTGCATTCCGATCCCTCGGGAGCTCCTCGCGTCGCCCGCCGCCGCGTCGAGTCGAGGCCTGATCCGCAGATATGCGGGCGCCATGTCTCCTCCCGCGCCCTTCACGGCGCGCTCTCTCACCAGCTCTCGCACCGCATTCCCTGCCGCTAGCGGCCGCGCCGACGGCGTAGCAAAATGCGCTCGAGTCGCGAGCCGTTTCAGGCAACCGTACGGATGTATGTCGTTGTCTTCGCCTTTCTGGCCAAAATCGTCCTCTGCGTCGATCTCGTCCGTCCGATTGTCATCTCTACGGTCCACATTCGCCCACGTGGCAAGCCAGCCCGCGCCGTGCCGCACGAGCAGGAACACCCACGTTCTTTGCTCCGCCGCCGCAAGCGACGGCGGCAGCAGCAGCAGCAGCAGCAGCACGGCAGTGGATACACCAGTCGCTCCCGCAGCAGCGCCGGCAACCGCCGGCGCGCCGTCAGCGCAGACGGGTAGCCGGCAGTCAACCGCGTATCCGTTCACGGAGATCGAGGCGAAGTGGCAGGCGCACTGGGAGGAGAAGGCGACGTTCCGCACGCCGGACGACGTGGACACGAGCAAACCCAAATACTACGTCCTCGACATGTTCCCCTACCCCAGGTGCGCCCTACCCCAGGTGCGCCCTGTTCCCCTACCCCAGGTGCGCCCTGTTCCCCTACCCCAGGTGCGCCCTGTTCCCCTACCCCAGGTGCGCCCTGTTCCCCTACCCCAGGTGCGCCCTGTTCCCCTACCCCAGGTGCGCCCTGTTCCCCTACCCCAGGTGCGCCCTGTTCCCCTACCCCAGGTGCGCCCTGTTCCCCTACCCCAGGTGCGCCCTGTTCCCCTACCCCAGGTAGGATGATAGTATCCCACGTGTTGCACTAATGGACTCATAGGCTCCTTTCACCACCTTCCACACTCCCACACGCACCCCATTTCCCCACTCACTTTCGCCTCCGCCCTTCCCGGCGGCTGAGGGCTGCACGAGGGGCATCCGGGGGGCTGCACAGCAACGGACACAGTGGCGGGGTACCCCATCCCGCATCCAACCACCCTCCCTTAACCCCCTCCCTTCCAATGCACCCCCCTACCAGCGGCGCAGGGCTGCACGTGGGGCACCCGGAGGGCTACACAGCAACGGACATACTGGCGCGGTACCCCATCCCGCCTCCTCTCTCCACTCTCGCCCTAACACCCTCCCCTCTCATACACACCCCTTTCCACCCCTCTCCACCCCTTTACCTTTGCAGCGGCGCAGGGCTGCACGTGGGGCACCCGGAGGGCTACACAGCGACGGACATAGTGGCGCGGTACAAGCGCATGCGGGGCTTTAACGTGCTGCACCCCATGGGATGGGACGCCTTTGGGCTGCCCGCGGAGCAGTACGCCATTGAGGTGAGTGGGGAAGGGGGGGCGGTCGTGTGGGAAGGGGAGTGGCGATGCAAAGAGCAAGGGAAGTGGGCATCTAGCGTGCTGCACCCCATGGGGTGGGACGCCTTTGGGCTGCCCGCGGAGCAGTATGCCATCAGAGTGGGGACGTGAAGGCCATTTCCCACGTAGTCGTATAATTCCGTTCCTCCCGTTTCCCTCACATCTCTCCACTGCCCCCTCTTCTCTCGTTCTCTCCGTTCCCCCCCATCGTTTTCTCTCGCTTTCTCACTACGCCCTCCCTCCCCTCCCCTCCCCTCCCCTCCCCTCCCCTCCCCTCCCCTCCCCTCCCCTCCCCTCCCCTCCCCTCCCCTCCCCTCCCCTCCCCTCCCCTCCCCTCCCCTCCCCTCCCCTCCCCTCCCCTCCCCTCCCCTCCCCTCCCCTCCCCTCCCCTCCCCTCCCCTCCCCTCCCCTCCCCTCCCCTCCCCTCCCCTCCCCTCCCTCCCCTCCCCTCCCCCCCCTCCCCTCCCTCCCCTCCCCTCCCCTCCCTCCCCTCCCCTCCCCTCCCTCCCCTCCCTCCCCTCCCCCCTCCCCTCCCCTCCCTCCCCTCCCCTCCCTCCCCTCCCCTCCCTCCCCCCTCCCCTCCCTCCCCTCCCCTCCCTCCCCTCCCTCCCTCCCCTCCCTCCCCTCCCCTCCCTCCCCTCCCTCCCCTCCCCTCCCTCCCCCCTCCCCCCCCTCCCCCCTCCCCTCTCCCCCCCTCCCCTCCCCCCTCCCCTCCCCTCCCTCCCCCCCCCTCCCTCCCCTCCCCTCCCCCCTCCCCTCCCTCCCCTCCCCTCCCTCCCCTCCCTCCCCTCCCCCTCCCCTCCCTCCCCTCCCCCCCCTCCCCCCTCCCTCCCCTCCCCTCCCCTCCCCTCCCCTCCCCTCCCCTCCCCTCCCCTCCCCTCCCCTCCCCTCCCCTCCCCTCCCCTCCCCTCCCCTCCCCTCCCCTCCCCTCCCCTCCCCTCCCCTCCCCTCCCCTCCCCTCCCCTCCCCTCCCCTCCCCTCCCCTCCCCTCCCCTCCCCTCCCCTCCCCTCCCCTCCCCTCCCCTCCCCTCCCCTCCCCTCCCCTCCCCTCCCCTCCCCTCCCCTCCCCTCCCCTCCCCTCCCCTCCCCTCCCCTCCCCTCCCCTCCCCTCCCCTCCCCTCCCCTCCCCTCCCCTCCCTCCCCTCCCCTCCCCCCCCCCCCCTCCCTCCCCTCCCCTCCCCTCCCCTCCCCTCCCCTCCCCTCCCCTCCCCTCCCCTCCCCTCCCCTCCCCTCCCCCCCTCCCTCCCTCCCCCCCCTCCCCTCCCTCCTCCCCTCCCTCCCTCCCCTCCCTCCCCTCCCCTCCCTCCCCCCCTCCCCTCCCCTCCCTCCTCCCCTCCCCTCCCCTCCCTCCCCTCCCCTCCCCCCCCTCCCCCCCCCCCCCTCCCCTCCCCTCCCTCCCCTCCCCTCCCTCCCCTCCCCTCCCTCCCCTCCCTCCCTCCCCTCCCCTCCCCTCCCTCCCTCCCTCCCCTCCCTCCCCTCCCCTCCCTCCCCTCCCTCCCCTCCCCTCCCTCCCTCCCTACTCCCTCCCTCCTCATCGTGCCATCAGACGGGCACACATCCACGGGTGACAACAGAGCGCAACATTGGACGGTTCAGATCGCAGGTGAGAGTGCCAATGGGCGCAGGAGAATGTGTGCTTAGTCACGCATGGCATGGCTGACTTTCTTCGAAATTTCTTGCGTGCATGCCAATTCAGGAGCGCATTGTGCTAGCTTTCACTAACTCCCCGTTCCCCCTCCCGCTCCCCCTCCCCCTCCCATACCCCCTCCCCCTCCCTTACCCCTTCCCTCCCTTCCCACCCCCCTCCAGCTGAAGGCGTTGGGGTTCTCGTATGACTGGCAGCGCGAGGTGTCAACGACAGACCCCGACTACTACCGCTGGACGCAGTGGATCTTCCTGCAGATCCTCAACCGCGGCCTCGCATACCAGGTGGGTTGGGGTTCAGTCCGCATGGGTGTGGATTACTGACAGGAGGAAATCCACACACGGACGTGCGTTGCTTTCCATTCTATGCCATTGCTACATCAAGCGCTAAGCACGTCTTCTTTCTTCATGAAGAAAGCACCATCATGATTTCGCCTCAAGCGCCGCCTCTTGCAGCCTTCCGCCTCCAGCCCATCAGCTTCCCCCTTCTCCCTCAGCCTCTCTCTGTTTCTCTCCGGTGCGTTCTGCTTCTCTCTGCTTCTCTCTGCCTCTCTCTGTCCCTCTGCACTGCACCAGGCGGACGTGGCAGTGAACTGGTGTCCAGCATTGGGAACGGTGCTGGCGAATGAGGAGGTGGTGGACGGCGTGAGTGAGAGGGGCGGCCACCCTGTCATCCGCAAGGTGTGTGTGTGTGTGTGTGTGTGTGTGTGTGTGTGTGTGTGTGTGTGTGTGTGTGTGTCTCCGTGTGTGTGTGTGTGTGTGTGTGTGTGCGCGCGCGCACGTGTGGGTTTGCGTTCCGTTTCGATTCAGCTTGTCTAGCACAGATTTGCGTTGCAGCACAGGTAAGGTGAGAGAAGAGGAGTCATGCCCTTCTTCCCTTACCCCCTTACCATCTCCCCCACCTTCTCCCCCCCTCCTCCCCCCCTTCCATCCCTCCTCCTCTTTCCCCCGCCAGCCCATGCGCCAGTGGATGCTGTGCATCAAGGAGTACGCGGATCGTCTTCCCCTCTACCCTATCACGTTCCATCCCAAAACATTCTTCACTTACCCCTTAACCCCTTCAACCCCCGCCCCACACTCTCCCACTCACCAGCCCATGCGCCAGTGGATGCTGCGAATCACAGAGTACGCGGATCGTCTGCTGGACGATTTGGACGGCCTGGATTGGCCTGAGAGCGTCAAGGAGATGCAGCGCAACTGGATCGGACGCTCCGAGGGCGCTGAGGTGGATTTCGCCATTGCTGACGTGGCAGACGGGTCTGCCAGCGTGCGCGTGTTCACCACACGCCCCGACACCATCTGCGGCGCCACGTGGGTTCCTCTCATTGGTCTGGACTCTAAATTCAAGTCCCTCTGTCTCGCTACTAACAGTCCATATCGCAGATACCGTACCTGAGAAGCCTCATCTCGTTGGACTGCCTTGCTGCCATTTTCCTCTCCCTCTCCCCACCTCCCTCTCCCAACCTTCTCTCCG